CTCACGTCCACAGTGTGTCCCCCTGCCCCCCACCCTCACGTCATCACCTCCAGTGTGTCCTCCTGTCCCTCAGCCTCACGTCCACAGTGTGTCCTGTCACTCACCCTCTTGTCATCACAGTGTGTCCTCCTGTCCCCTTAGCCTCATGTTCATTGAGTGTCATCCTGTCCCTCAATCTCAAGTTCACAGTGTGTTTTCTGTCCCTTTAGAAACCCTCCATGTGTAAGGGCTGAGGCACACACCTTGGTCAGAGTGTCTTCTGAGCTGGACTCACCTATTTTTCAGGACAGAACTATGGTGTCCTCCTGCTTGCCCAGATGGACGGTCAGGCTCTTCAGTGCCATCCCAGGCTGGTGGTGGAAGGGTCATCCCTGCACCCTGGTGGGGGCAGTGAGGATGGTGTCCATGCCCAGCTCCTTGGTGGAGTCTAGAAGGGGGCTGGGCTGTCTTCAGGGAGTGCCACTGGTCAGCCCACTGTCCCACAGAGGCTACTCCTCATCTTCCCACCTGGCTGAGGTGACACTGACCCAGGAGCGCTACCCGGTGCAGCGGCTCCCCTTTGCTGTGGTCTCTGAGGATGACCTAGCTGTCTTCCAGCGCATCCTCCCGGGCAGGGTGGTCACCAACCCTGAGGAGCTGGTGGCTGTGAATGTGGACTGGCTGAGGGCTTTCCAAGGTAAGTCAGGCTTTGGGCCACTGGTGCCTGGGGAGAGTGAGCCAGTAGAGTGGGGGTGCCGGGGGCAGGGGGGCAAGGTGAGGGGAGGGCAGGGTGTTAGGAGGCCAACATGGGGTAAGGGAGGTGATGTGGAGTGGGAGGCTGGTGTGGGTTCATGGGGGCTGGGCCAAGGTAGAGTGGGGAGACTGGGGTTATGGTGGGGTTGAAGGGCTGGGGACAGGATGGGGGGCCCCTGGAGCCGTGTTAATGGGGGTCAGAGGCTTGGCGAAGGGTCTGGGGGTTGGGCCAGGGTGCTGGATAAGGGGACTGGTGGCGGGTCGGGGGCTGGGGCTGGAGTGGGTGGGTCTGGGCTGTGTGAGTGGTGCTGAGGGTGGGGTGGGACAGCCTGGAGCTGTGTGAGTAGGGACCTGTGATGATCTCAGGCTTCTTTAGCTCAGAAGTTTCTCAGGAACTCTGGTGGTGTAGAGGTTAAATGCTCACCTGGCTACCTGCAGGTTAGGGGTTCAGACTGGGCAGCTGCTGTGTGGAGGAAGAGGGCGGCCTTGGAAGCCCAGTGGGCAGTCCTGCTCTGTCCTGCAGAGCCGCTGTGGGCTGGACTTGGCTCTGTGCAGAGATATTCAGGAGCTCTTCTGTGGACCCTTCTTCAGCCTTCCCAGAGAAGCTGTCTTGCGGTGACTTCAGTTCAGGAGAGGAGACAGGGTGCTGTTATTCTTTGGGGGCTCAAGGTCCGAGCAAATGAGGAGAGAAAAGCAGGCCATTCTCAGGTGTCTTGACCCCCACACATAGCTGCCCTTGCAAGGGGCTACCAGTGGAGGGCTGAAAACAAGAGAGCCCTGCTCCCACCTTTCTGGGGGCTGCTGTGAGGAGTTACCAGTTGCTTCTGACTCCTAGTGACCTTGTGGACTGTGGTGTGGATCACGTGGGTCCCACCCCGTCGTCGGAATGCCTTCTGTTGGAGGCCCTTGTCGCTGAGCCCCTTGTTGCAGTTGCTCCGTCAGGCCCTGCCCCACAGTGGTCCCAGAGCATGGGTGCAGCAGATGAGGGCTGAGAAGGGAGATGAAGCGTTTGTTATCAGACCCCCTCTTCAAAAGCTCTGTTACTTTAAGCTGCTCACACAGAATGTAAAAGCTGCACAGTGAGTGAGGAAAGTGGAAAAATTTCAAATTTTGGAGTTGACAAAAAGTAGAAAGTTTCTGGACTCCAAGAAAACAAACAGAAATTCTCTACTATGGCTGGCTGCAATCAGGCACATCTTGAGCTGTAAACTGACATCCTTGCTCTTCCGCACTTTGGGGAGCCCCTGATGGCAGACTTCCCCAGTGCGTCATGTCAGTTGATTTCCTGACTGCTGGTTCCATGGGTGCTGATTGTGAAGTAAGATGAAACCATTGACAGCTCCACTCTTTCCTCTGTCTAGTGCGTTGTGGCTGTTGGTCCAGCTGTGAGGCCTTTTCTTCTGGATGCTAGGATGCGTCCATATGGCTAGATCCGTACTGACGGCTTTTTTGTCACAGGCTGCAGTCAGGTGCTGCTGAAGCCCCGGACGACAGAGGAGGTGGCGCAGATACTCAGGTAAGTGGAGGCTCCTGACCTGGAGGCGGGGGCCGAGGGGAGGGGTGGAAGTGGGTGTGCTGGACCCAGTGGCCAACCCTTCTGTGCCTTTGATGCTGTTCAGTCACATCCACTGGGAGTGCAGGAGAGCTGCTGACCATCCCTTCAGCAGTCCTCTGTGGGGCAGGGCAGAGCTGCACCCCGTAGCTGTAGAGACCGATTTTGGGGAGCAGGGTCCTGATCCTGTCTTCTGAGATACCTCTGGATGGATACAAACCTTTGGTCCGCAGTGCAGTGCTTAAGCATACATGCCACCAGCAGCTCTTCTGATGGTAGGGACCTTGGGAATTGCAAGGAGGCTCCCCACCTCCTCCAGAACCTCTTCACTCTGGGACTCTGGGACCTGTTTGCCTGGGAGCTGGTTTCCCTGCGAGATTGGGGTCCTTAGCCTGGTGCTCCTCTTCTCCCCCAGGTACTGCCATGACAGGAACCTGGCGGTGACCCCGCAGGGGGGAAACACAGGTATGGTGGGGGGCAGTGTCCCCATCTTTGATGAGATAGTCCTGTCCACTGCCCTCATGAACCAGGTGGTCAGCTTCCACAGCCTGTCTGGTAAGCTGCTCTCAGCACTCATGCTGATTTGGGGCCAGGAGGGTGTATGAGGGCAGCTGGGGATGTAGGGAGACAGTAGGGGATGCAAGGTCAGTGGAGGAGGGTGTGGGGGAAGCTGGAGGGTGTGTGGAAACAGCAGGGTGTGTGGGATCAGCAGAGGTTGTGAGCTTAGGGTGTCGGGTCAGCAGGTGATTATGGGATCAGCAAGCAGTGCAGGGGCAAAAAAGGGTATGGGTTTCAGCAGAGGGTGTGGGTGGACAGCAGGAGGTGCGAGGTTAGGGTTAGAGGTTAGCAGGTGGTGTGGGGAGACAGCAGAGTTAGAATTAAGGGTCAGCAGGGGGTGTGAAGTTAGGGTTAGGGGTCATCAGAGGAGTTTGAGAACAGTAGGAGGTGTGGGGTTAGGCTTAGAGGTCAGCAGGGAGTGTGGGGTAACACCAGGGGTGTGTGTGGTTAGAGTTAGGAGTCAGGGGTTTAGGAACAGCAGAGGGTACGTGGTTAGGGTTAGAGGTCAGCAGCGGATACAGGGACAGCAGAGCATGTACAGATCAACAAGGGACGGGGCAGCAGGGAGGAGTGGGGATTCAGCTTGTTCTGGCCATGTTCATGACATGTTGGTCTGTGTGTGCATGTGTTTGTGTGCGTGTGGGCTGTGGGAGGCCCTTTGTGCGATGGACGCAGTGGACTTGGGTCTAGTTCATTCCAATCAGTTTTCCTTCCTGGAGGTGGTCAGAAATTACTTCAGACCACCTGCAAAGAGGGATTCCGTGTAGCTCCCTGAATCATCCTTACAGCTCTGCATGGGCACGCACTTGTTGGGGCTGTCCTGCATGGAGTGGAGCACCGTCTCTCATCCTGGAAACCTAGTGTGTCAGCAGGCAATTCGAGGTGTGCTCTGGGCCAGAAGTGACGTCTTTCTGGAAGGCTGTGTGTGAGTGTGTGTGAATGCAAGACCTCTCGCCATCATTAAAGTTGAGGTCTTTGTGCATTGCAGGAGTTGACGTAGTCCCTGGGTCAGGGTGGGCTCACATTATAGGGTGCTGCTTAATAAAGACAGGGCTGCCCTCAGAGACTGATGCCATTGCAGGGTCCTAGTGTGTCAGGTGAGTGTGTCCTGTGGGGTCTGGTGTGTCTAGTGAGTTCTGTCCTGTTAGGTGCATGGTGTCCTGTAAGTTTTGATGTGTCAGGTGCATGATGTCCTGTGAGATCTGGTGTATCAGGTGAGTGTGTCCTGTGAGGTCTGGTGTGTCAGGTGCATGATGTCCTGTGAGGTCTGGTGTGTCAGGTGCATGATGTCCTGTAAAGTCTGGTATGTCAGGTGAGTGTGTCCTGTAAGGTCTGGTATGTCAGGTGTGTGTGTGTCCTGTAAGGTGTGGTGTATCAGGTGCAAGGTGTCCTGTGAGGTCTGGTCTATCAGGCGAGTATGTCCTGTAAGGTCTGGTGTATCAGGTGCGAGGTGTCCTGTGAGGTCTGGTGTGTCAGGTGCATGATGTCCTGTGAGGTGTAGTGTGTCAGATGCATGATGTCCTGTGAGGTCTAGTGTATCAAGTGAGTGGTGTCCTGTGAGGTGTGGTATGTCAGGTGAGTATGTCCTGTAAGGTCTGGTGTATCAGGTGCGAGGTGTCCTGTGAGGTGTGGTGTGTCAGGTGAGTGTGTCCTGTAAGGTGTAGTTTATCAGGTGAGTGTGTCCTGTGAGGTGTGGTATATCAGGTGAGTGTGTCCTGTGAGGTGTGGTGTATCAGGTGAGTGTGTCCTGTGAGGTGTGGTGTATCAGGTGAGTGTGTCCTGTGAGGTGTGGTGTATCAGGTGAGTGTGTCCTCTGAGGTCTGGAGTGTCAGGTGCGAGGTGTCCTGTGAGGTCTGGTGTATCGGGTGAGTGTGTCCTGTGAGGAAGGGTGTGTCAGGTGAGTGTGTCCTGTAAGGTCTGGTGT